TGTCCACTCTCTGGAAATTGCCTCACCTCATCCATCATCTACAAAGCCACTGTCCACTCAAATGATGACACAAAATGCTATATTGGGCTCACTGACACACCGTTCAAAACCCGATACACAAAACACAAATACACTTTTAACACTCCCAAACACAGAAACAGCACCGTACTCTCCAAATACATATGGAAATTAAAAGACAGCAGCACGCCCTACAATATCAAATGGTCTATTATCGACAGAGCATCGGCCTATTCCCCAAAAACAAAACGCTGCAACCTATGCATAACCGAAAAACTTCACATAATATATTCAGACAAACAGTCAACACTAAACAAAAGAACCGAGCTATTGTCTAAATGCAGGCACAACAACAAATACTTAAAAACAATTAACTCATTTGCATTTTCACCTGCCTTAGCATTCATATACTCACAGTCTTTGTATTCTCTCACTCCTGAAGATTGCATTAGCATGAAACAGTCTGTAGAGGGATTATACCAAGTTCTATATATACATAGATAGATATGCAAATAAAAATGTTAATGTTACTATTTTTTTTATAAAATCGTGTTTGTTTTGTTAGTCTGGCATCAATGATAACACAGCTTGCTGTTGCTTAATAAACATAACGCCCGCCATTAAGCAGGAACACATTGTGCGTGCAGCGTTGGAATCGTTAGCCTTCAGGGTCGTTCAGATCTTCAACACGTTGGAGAATAAAACCAACATCAAAATTAGTGACACCGTAAAGTAAGTTAAACAAACGATGATAATAATAATTATGCCAAAAGAAATAACCCCTCAATTCATTATAACAAAGGTGACTTTAAAATAATCTTGATTATTTTTATTTATTTTTTTTTTCTAATTCTTTATCTCTTCATGATTATTATTTGTTTAATAACTAGGTTTGATGGCGGTGTTAGCAACAGTGATTTTGTGCTACAGTTGGTCTCAAGCTTGTTAAACAAGAAAGTGGATCGGCCCGACAATCTGGACATGTCCTGCCTTGGTGCAGCTTTTCTTGCAGGCTTAAAAGCAGGTAAAGTGGGGCACACATCTCCGCACACTGAGCGGTTGCTGATTTTTCGGTCGCAGACTGGGAAGTTTGTCATTAATAATGATCTTTTATGTGCATCTCTGCGTGTGTGTCTATAAACCAATATAATGATCTGGATTGGATACTTTCCAATGCTCCAACAGAGTCAAACAGATTTTCATTTCATACTATTTCATTGTCTTTTCAAATCACCACTGCACGTGTATATAGTGTTGTGAACAAACGATTGTCGCATGGAGATTTTTTTATTGCCTTTTGTTAGCAAATACTATCATATTTATTTAAAATGCATTGATAAAATTTACAACTTTATTATGGAAAAAAGTATTGACAAAGCTTGGGTAAGATATATTTTTTTCGTTATTTATTTTATTTTATGTTTTGATGAAGCTATTGTATATTTAATTATTATTTCGTTCTTAATTGGTCAGACATGATAATTATTATTATTTGCAGGTGTTTGGAAGAGCAAAGAAGAGTTGAAAGCAGTGCGAAAAACAAAGAACGTATTCAAACCAAAAGCAGATGTACAAAATGACTACAAGCCAACTTTTAAACAATGGGCCAAGGCAGCTAGAAGGTCGATGAACTGGAACATATAAAGTAACAGATGGTGTACGAACAAAGACCTCAATGCAGGCAAATAAAATAAAATATATATATATATTAATTTAAAAGATGTAAGCTATGGCAGGAGAATCTCCATTGAAACCTAGAGGTCAAATCATAAAAGTTCATCATTTCAAAGCTCAGAATAATTAACATAAATTATTAAAAACTGTACTTCATATGTATATCTTGCTGTAATATAATCTATGCAAAAGTTTTGATGTCTAGTACAATATAATCATAGTGATGCTTGAAGTATAAATCTAAACATTTTGATGGTTATTTTTAGAGCTATATATAGCTGCAAAAAACATATTACCACCAATCACAGGGGCGGATCCAGAGATGTCCAAAAGGGGGGGGGGGCCCGAAAGTTGGGCCGATTGAGGCAACACTGCCCTAGCGGGTCCGGGGCATTTCCCCCGAAATTTTTGTGTTCTGAAGCCCGAAAATAACATTTGAGGCGTTCTGGGCTATCATTTTTTTCTGTTTTCTTTTTTTTTTTTACCTCCCAAGGGGGATTTGGGGGGGGGGGGGGCGGGGCCGCCCCCCCCCCCCCCACCCCCCCCCTGAATCACAGAGCTTGAGAACTAAGGATCTTTACATTTTGATAGATGACCACTGAGCACCAGTTAGCTTGCAAGAACAGAAACAAAATTATTTATTACAAAATGTATTTACAGTATCACTATTTAGGAATAAGACTATGATAATGTAATTTCATTAGCATTATGAAAGGATACCACTTATCTAAATAAAGGACAATACAACATAAATAACTTACCTTACCTATCTGCTTTGCACCCATACATTTCTAGAATAATTATTAGGTGAGGAGCTCAGCTCAGTGGTTGCGCAAGCGGTGGCGGGGGAAATTGTCCCCGTTGGACAGGCCTGGACCCCCTGTAGTTTGACACACGAATAGGGCGTCAGATCAGAAGTTTAAAAAATAATATTTTACCTATCCAAATAACGTTATTTTGACTGCTAGTCCATAGTATTGTGGTCTAAAAGAACATTTTGGGCCATAATAAGCCATAAAAACTCTCCCCATGAAACCTACAAGGGAGTTTTTATTCCGGGCCATTGACCAATGCTTCGTCAGCCCCTTGGCTCGGACCCCTTGTTGCAAATTTCTGGCACCACCGCTGAAGGAGCTATTTGACCCAATACCGTATAATAGTATTACAGAAACAGTATACAAAGAGGCTATACTGTACTTATGGCAGGTCATAAATGTATGTATGTAACTATAAAATGTATAACCTGGATTTTTGTAACCTTAAGGTTAGCATCTGATTGATCCCCCACTGATCACCACCTTGCAAAGCTGGGGTCAAGTGTACAACCCCCCCTTTTTTTTTAGGACAGTACTATAAAACTAAATAATTTCACTTATTGTTATGGAGAGGATCACAATTTAATTTTGTATTTCACATGCAAAAGCAAATAAAGTGCAAATTACAGGATGGGATAATGATTTATAATATAGTCTTTATGAGGCTTATGAATTGGAGTTTTAGTCATGAGTACAATCACTGCTGTCGCTAGGTTTGAACAAAGGATCCTGGGAATTGGAAGGCAAGAATCATAACCACCAACTCAACTCCACTCCAATATAACCTCCCTATAAAATGTTATTACGACTTGTTAAAAGCATAGCCAAAGGGTTTATTGAATTATACACTTATGCATGTAGTTACTAAGATTTTATTGAAAAACAAATAACCACCATTTTTTCAACGGAACAAATTTAAGCAATAGATGGCACAATAGAATTTTAGCCACCGTTTGATTTTATTGAGCAATTGATGCCCCACCAGTGTTTGTGTGTTGATTTTATATATTACCTGCCTTTTTATAATAGAAAAAGTATTACAGTATAAGAAACCATTCTTTAAAAATGCAAAAAAAAAAAAAAATATATACTTTTCTTCTAAGAATGAAGATATTTGTGTGATACAGATCTGTTGATTTGAAAAATTCAATATTTAAATTGTAAATTTTATATATTTATGTAAGGTATCCAATTTCAATTGAAAATTTAATTGAGAAAATATTTTCCTCATAAATTAACAGACAGAGCAATTCTGTGTATATATACTTTATATATACCCTAATAGTGAGATTCTATAAAATCTCACTAGTTAATTTAAATCTATTAGAGTTGTCTGGAAAATCCCTCACTCAGTTAAAGCTCTTTTTGCACTATTGAATTTTATGTGAGAAATTACTTTGACATGGCCATATTTGGATGTAATATGACATCATCATGCCCATATATGGGCACATCACACACATTTGTTGCATAAAATTGGATAGTGTGTACAAAGCTTGAACTACTTAATTGATTATTTAAATGTTTAACATTTTAGAAAATAAATAAATTAAAAAAAATATATAAAAAATTAAAATACATAAAATAAATAAATAAATGGACAGTTGCTGAAGTAATATCCTAAATTCATTTAAACCTTATTTTGTGTTGGTACTTCTAGCGAATGAATGAATAAAATACAGTATATGTGAATATAGCTACTGTATTTTGTATCTTAAATGGTCCATTGAAGATAAAATGAAGATAATTTGAAAGTTATAAATATTGACATTTTATAATTACTACCCACATGCATTTCTTTGATGTAAATTTTAAAAATATTTTTTCCTAATTTTATTAATCTGAATAATTCCATTTAAACTTCGCATTGATTAGGTTCAAGATATATGTTAAATGAACTACATAAATAAAGATAATGTTAATACTGACGCGATCCAATAGTACATTTGTAGGTGAAGATTATGAAGCACTTGTCATTATGGTTGTGTTTGTAAAGCAGCATGACTAGGAATACTCCCCAAGGAGCAGACAAAGCTGCACAAAAATGTGCTTGTTTGCCAATTAAGTATCCAGTGACCAGGGAAATACTGATGTCGGCGCCTTTGTACATTCTCCAGAAAGTGAAAGGCGCAATATAATTTTTTTTTTTAAAGAAAAAAGAAGCTTAAACGGTGATGGTGTAGCTTTCCTGTATGAATAAAATCAAAATAGTACTGGGTTTAGTCTACATGAGTTCCTGCTTCTATTAGGTCATTCAATTCATAGATGCCTTTTTTTTTTGTATGGAGAATGCATTAACCTTAGTAGCCTAGGTCTAAACATAACTCTAGATACAGTATATACATACTTACTCTTTTCAAACTTAATCCATTAAGTGTTAATCCATTGGTCTTGTATATGTGAGGTCTTGATGTGAGGTTTCACCACGAAATGAGACGCATCGTTGGTAAAGGAATATTGAGATATTCACCAAAACAGGCCAAAGTCAACATTTTTACAAAAATTTTGATTTTAATGTTTTTGAATAACTTGATACTTATATTTTATGATTGTATACTTTGTAAGTGAATTTTCTTGCCAAAACAGTGTTCTCTGCATATATTCTGTAATCCTAGTCATATTATTTTGTACAGGTTAGTTTATCTTTGAGGCCGATTTTCTCAAAACGTGGTTCTTATACACCTAAACTTTAAATGCTCACAT